AGCGGTGGGGATAAGTCACCTTTCCGTTCCTCTCCCTCTGGGGACCGTCAGACCAGTTGAGGTGGTCCCTTCCGCTCTCCAGGTGCGCCCCCGCCATCTTCCCCAGCTCCTCAGGGCTGCTGGAGGCTCTGGCCCTCTCCCGCCTCCTTGGCCTGTGGGCTCCCCCGAGGCGGCTGGTTCGGTCTTTGGTGCTTGTACTCGTTCCGCTCCTTGTGTCTTCGTTAATTCTGCAGCTTTCATTTCGGGACGGGTTCCCAAAACGGTGGCAGCAGGATTATGGCCATGAGTGAGGAGACTGGCTGTTCTGTGTTGGCTGCCGCCTGGGGTGACTGATGGCAGCAGCAGGATGAGCCATCCCTCGGCAGATTTGCTTTCTGAAGTGAAAGCCTGTCTGTTTTAAAACCTCTGATTCATCAAGGGAACAAACAAACAGGTCAGGCTCAAGGGCTCAGAAACACTCCAATGCAGTAGAAGTTGCATGAGCTTTGGGAGGAATCAGTGAAAGGTGCTACTGGATTTTTAAAACTGTCTTGTAGGTGATGGCTGCTGCCATTGAGCCCACAAGCTTTGAGGAGGAACAGCTTCCAAGTAAGAGAGGAACTATGATCTGGAAGCCCAGAAAAGGTAAGCCTGAACAAAACAAAGCAGATAGTGAGTAATGAAACTTATACTCTGCTTGAGAAAGTACACTTAAAACCTTTTGGTGATGCATGGGAAATGCCTCTTCAGTTACTGCACTGAATTATTTCTATGTAGATATTTATGTATGCCTAGGTGCAAGAGTAATTAATCAACACTACAAAAAAAATCCTTTTTTTTTAAAAAAAAAAAAAAAGAAACAAGAGCTGTGGGTTTTCAGCATACCTATTTTTTTAAAATGCCAACAGGTGAATGGTGAAACAAGACTGCTGGGTCCTTTGCCCTAGTTTAAAGAGTTATTTTCCAACAAGAGTCTGTGGAAAATCCTGACTTGGGGTAGTGTTGTGTACAAGCCCATGTCCAGTGTTCCTGAGCATCTGAAACAGCACTGTAGTGATACTACCTCTGTAAGAACTGTATATATTATAATTACATTAGTAGTCACAAAGTGCATTTGTATACCTGTCTGAATTACTGCATGCTAAGCATTTAAGTGTTCCTGTTTAATTCCTAAGTATCTCTGCTGGCTCTTTCTATTGGTTTTAGAATGTTTGCTGAAGAATGTTCCAAATGGTCTTGATAGTGAGTCTGAAGAAGGTGAATTCTCTGATAGCTCTCACAATGAAAATGATGTCAGCGGCTCTCCTGTTGACTGCGTTCATGTAAGTCCTGACCTAGAAGACTTGGGTGGTGAAGTCCCCAGTATGCCCGAGGCTGCAACTTTTCCAGAGCTGCAAACTGCTTCTGTGTACGAGGTGGAGGACTGGGATAAAGAATTGGAGGATGCTGAATGTAATCCTTACGGTGAGTACAAATTTATTTGTGCTTCATTTGAGTTTTGGATAGTATGTGATTGGAGGTAGGTGCTTTGCAGGAGAACATATGTAAATAACTCTATGTTCTATTTTGGGAAGCAATTTTTTTTGTTGGTGTTGACCTCATGGAGTTGTCATGCATAATTTTGTTGTCAAATACAGGATTTAAAGGCAATGTTGTAAAGTTCACATGAAGCTCTTGCTTGAGCAATTGAATTCTTAGGGAGTGGAATGGTAAGGAGAATTGTATGTGTATCGAGTTTTTCTGGAGAAGCTAGGTATCAGTGTATCTTTGTTATTCTGAAGCAGAAGAGAAAGGTACATGGAGTGCGGGAATGTAACTTTTCTGCATAAAATGAGTTCTTCCTTTCCTCCAAGAAAATTAATCCAGACTGTGCTCTGTAATGTCTCTCTAGAGCATGGAGTTCTTTGGAGGGGAGCAGTACAAGCATGCAGTCTCTGAGCATGGTTTGTTGTTGCTTTTGCTGTAGGTTGTTGGGGGTTTTTTTTTGTGGTAGGTTTTTTTGGTTGGTTGGTTGGTTTTTTTGAAGCTTGATCCTCTTAACTGGTTGTGCGTGTGACCAGTCCCATGGGCAAAGGTGGCACTGGATAGAAGCAGTTTCATCCGCATCTTTAGAGTCGTATAAATCCTCCGGTTTATGGTGACTCGTGTTGAACTGAGAGTCTCAGTCTCCCATTTGCCAGGCTGTGTGTTAGGACAGAACAAGTGGATGGAGTTTAGCCAGCAGTGGTGACCTGCTGTGTCTTTGTTGACGCAGAATAGTACCATTTCCATTTTCTTCTCATTAATGTGTATCTTTTGTGATTAATACAAACACTCCTTTCTTTGCTTAGGAAATATCAATTCTCTGTTTATTTTCATTCCATAAATGGCTATTGTATTTAAGTTCCATTGTTTGATAATAGAAGGGAAAGTTTTTGCAGCCTTCCTATCAAATCATTCAGATTTCAAAATGGAAATACAGTAGTGTTTTTTCACACTGGGTAATCTGAGAAAAAGACTGGTTCCTTTTCAGATGTTTTCTTCTCTTCCATCCTGGGCTTTCCTTTTAATCTCTCATTTGTTCAAATTTATGGATTTTTTTTTTTTAAACTGGAACTGTCACAATTTCTCTTCTTTTCCTTTATCCCCACCTTTATGCCTAAATCATCCCCACCTGTGCATAATAGCTTATGCTATTCAAATCCTCACAGACTGAGGAAGCTGTGATTATGGGCTTCAGGTGCTTGTGAAGGATACTGAGTACAAGTGTCTGAGTTGTTAACTGCTACAAATAAAAACTGTGCTTGGTCGGTCATTTTATGGCTTTTTAAAAATGCTTGCTTTGGCTTGTTTGGCAGTGCTACTGGAAGGCTGACACGTGGATATACTGTGTTGGGTCCTCTGGTGCCCCATACTCTGGGCTTTTCATTTGCTCAGTCCTTTCAGTGTCTGCTGGCTAGAAATCTGCTTCTGTTAAAGGACTTTGCCCTATTTTTGTGCTAGGTTGGTTAAATAACAGGCTTATTAGGCTTAATTCTAGCCTAGTGGAAATGTTGTTCAGAGCTCACTTTTACAGGACCCCACCCTTTCATTCTGTCCAGTGACCCAGTTCTTAAAGGGTTTGGAGGGCTCTTAATTGGGATGTGGTTATGGAGACAGCAGGAAGGGGGAGGAGAAATAAAAGTAATTGTTTCATGAGCCTTTTATGCCTGGAGAAAACGCAGAACTGCATGCATTGTAAGAGCTGGTGTCGGATGTTCTGAATCCAGGTATATCATTGAACTTTTTGGAAAAAAAGTTTTGTCTCTGTGGCAAGAACCTTCCTTAAAATGAAGATGTTGCCAAATTCAGCTGTTTTCTTTGTTTGTAGGTCTAATTCATGAGTGCTGGCAGATCAAATTGAAATACTTAACTGGAAGATGCTTAGGCCTGCAAAATAATCTGCTACACTATACTACTAGTTTTCTAAGTATCTCCTGTGGTTTAAATCTTTTCTTTGATCTTCTTTAGATGCTGGCGATCTCCACTGTGGAAGCTTTCAGGAAAATAATCTTTTGGCCTCGTACTCATGGCGAGAGGATTCGTTTTACAACCCAGGCTGTCACCATGCAGCTTGCCTTGCTTTTACACCACCGGTTAGAATGACTGAGACTGGCCAGTTTGATGATGCTGATGAATGAGGTTGACCCTGGTCAGAACTAAGTTTGGCTTTGAGTTGGATCATGTTCTTCACCGACTGAGTCATGTCAAGTCCTTTGGCTTGCTTGCAGAGTTCTGCATAAAGCCAGAAGTGCTCCACCATCTCCGAAGTTTTGCTTAGACTGCTTCTGAGCTGTTTATAAATTGATCACGCTTGACCTCTGGAAAAGAGAGTGCAGGTGCTAGCTGTTAAGGAGTCGATGCATTTCTGGATTTTTCGTTTGTATTATATAGATCTATGTTGTTGCTACTGAATTGCTTGAGAGGAAGTACTTAATTTCTAAACTTCAGCTTGTTTGCCAAGCTTTGCCAGTTTTGACATGCTGAGCCCTGTGTGTTGGTGTAACTTGCAGTTTTCTTTCCTTTTCATTTGATGCTGTCAAATTGGTTCAGATAGCTTTAAAAACTCTTCCTCCTTCCAGCTTCTCTGTTGTATTTCTACGTTGCAGTTTGTGATTCCATATCTAATACTAGTGTTTAACAAAATTAGCCACGACAAATACAGAATGAGTTGGTTTGGTTTTATTTTTATGTATTTCAGTATAAAGGAATGTATGATGCACATTCTGCAAATACACATGTGGACATACAGCAGGGCCTGCTGCATCCAATAGGAATGCTGGGTGCTTAAGACTGCCTCCCAGCAAAGGTTTCTCCACATCAGACCTTCTTGTATATGGGCATATTATCCCCTGGTCTCGTAGCTGTCTTTATAACATTCTCACGCGACATCAGACACGTAATGACAAAGAAAATAGCTATGCTTTTATAGTGGCTTGCAGCATATAATCTCTGTGTCCTGCACACAGTGTGGATTAAGGTTCCTCACACTGCCGATATGTTTGTTTTGTTGTTGTTTGTGTTGTGGCAAAGGAGGAGACAGGAACACAAAATACCTCCATAAAGTCTCTGAGGGAATAGCTGGAACTAGAACCGTATCCTTCTTGCCTTTGCTTTGGAGTTAAAGGAAACGTTCTCAAATGAAGTCTATTAAGTGGACTGAATGGCTGATCACTTGAGTAACAATAATCTTCAACTAATGCTCATGTTTCATTAATCACTTACCTCTCAATCTTTTTGATGGCTTTGTGTTCCGACACTGATTGATACTGGAGCCACAGTACCCATGCTTGTTTATTCTCTGGCGAGGTGTTAACATCTACCTCTGGGACTTCTTTTTTTTTTTTTTTTTTTTTTTAAATCATCCAATGTATGAGACTGAAATAATTTAATTTATGCATTAGTTTGGAGGGAAGAAGTGCATGACACAGTGATATTGGCTTAATCTTTTCCTTGAGAGCAGAGGAGGACAAGAGCTTGGAAGAGTCTTTTCTCCTGGTGCCTTGCAGTTCCTGGTTACATCTTAGCACCTAGCAAGCAAAGTAAAGAGTGGAAGCTTGGTGTTGAGGTTGCAAGAAAGAAGGCCTGTTCTTTTACTGTACATGATGGAGTGATCTAGGGGTTAGTATTCCATCAAAACTTACTTTGGCATGCCTCCAGAACACATACATACAGCAGAAAGCACAATCTAACAGACTGTTCTTTCCCTGCAGGGCAGGAAAGCCCTAGCTGTGCTATCTAAGGCACCGGGAGTGGGGTTTTTTTGTGCTCTGGACTGCTGTGCGTCAGAGAGAGAGTGCAGCTCTGAGTCCTGCATTAGTTAGAACATGCACTTGACTCCGTGGAACAGAAGTGAGAACTGACGACACGCAGCTTATCAGGTTTGGATATATAATGGCTTCTTTCTCTAACTGAGAAAACAGGAACGAAACTCTTGAGTGTAACTGCAACTGACTTGTCAACTGGAGTAAAATTGTTGATTTGAATTTATAAATGCAATATTCATAGAATCATAGAATGCTTTGGATTGGAAGGGACCTTTAGAGGTCATCTAGCCCAACCTCCTGCAGTGAGCAGGGACAGGTTTAACCAGATCAGGTTGCTCAGAGCCCCTCCAACCTGACCTTGAATGTTGCCAGGGATGGGGCCTCCACTGCCTCTCTGGGCAACCTGTTCCAGTGCTTGACCACCCTCACTGTAAAAAATTTCTTTCTTATGTCTAGTCTAAATCTATTCTTCTTTAGTTTAAAACCATTACTCCTTGTCCTGTCACAACAGGCCTTGCTAAAAAGATTGTCCCCATCCTTCATATAGGTCTGCTTTAAGTACTGAAAGGCCGCAATAAGGTCTCCTTGCAGCCTTCTCTTCTCCCGGCTGAACAACCCCAGCTCCCTCAGCCTGTCCTTGTACGAGCGATGCTCCAGCCCTCGGATCATTTTTGTGGCCTCCTCTGGACCCGCTCCAACAGGTCCATGTCCTTCTTGTGCTGAGGGCTCCAGAGCTGGATGCAGTGCTCCAGGTGAGGTCTCACCAGAGCAGAGCGGCGGAATCACCTCCGTCAACCTGCTGGCCACGCTGCTTTTGAATCCTAGAATCTTTTAGGTTGGAAAAGCCCTTTAAGATCATCCAGTTCAACCATTAACATAACATGACCAAGTCTACCACTAAACCAATTAAGGGTAGAGTAGCAATTTCATGTTTCCTGGCTTGGTGGCTGGATTATTTTTAATGACAGTAAAAACTAGGAATCACTAAGGTTGGAAAGGACCTCTTAGATCATCAGTCCAACCCTCAACCCAACACCACTATGCCCACTAAACCATGTCCCAAAGTGCCACGTCTACACATCTTTTAAATACCCCCAGGAATGGTGACTCCACCACCTCTCTGGCCAGCCTGCTCCAATGCTTGACTACCCTTTCTGTGAAGAAATTTTTCCTAATATCCAACCTAAACCTCCCCTGGTGCAGCTTGAGCCCATTTCCTCTTGTCCTGTCGTTAACTACTTGGTTAACTACTTGATGCAGCCCAGGAGTCGGTTTGTTTACAAATAAATAGCGTACAGAAATAACGATACCGCAGTAAATTCCGGAAGTCCTGCGGGAAAAGCAGGGCCGGTGCGGCGGGCCGGTGCCCGCT